TCGTACACTTATGCAACTGGTCGTTCGTTTCGATTGCGTAAAGAACGAAGGAATACGCGTGCCCGTTGGGGGTGAATCGCGTGGTAGCCTGAAAAAAGGTTCGCGATTCTATTCTGAAACGCTTTTCGATCAGCCAGTCGAGTGGAAAGTACGCGAGTCTGAAAAAGTAAGCACGTGAAAGTGGAACGATACTGTTCTCACACGACGGGATACTAGACGAGGCGACGGACAAAAGAAGAATCACGCCCTCGCGCGTACATGTGCTTCTCAGAGTGTCGCATTCTCACGCAGGAAATTTCTCTTAGTTGGTTGCGCAAACATCACCGGCGGGTACATTATTCTTCGTTATAGAATCTCTTCGAAAATGGAAGAGAATTCGATCGAGACTATAAACTGATACCTGGATAGTTGATTGAGAGAAAGAAAAGAAATCAAAGGAAAGGGGTGGTCGATGTGGAAAGTTGTGGTGAACGATGCGGATAACGTTCGACGGAAGAAGGACTGGTTGGAATCGAGCGTGTCGCGGGTGCTCGCAGAAATAAGGATAGCCATGTCAGTATCAGAGACTTTCGTATCACCGTGCGTGGAGGGCGGGAGGGACTCTTCAGGTCGCGTGCTCGAGATTCTTCCCTGAAGATGTATGGCACCAATGAAAGCCACGGGCCGAACCACGGGCCTTGGACACCGCCTCCTGCGCCCGAACCGCTCCCGCCGCAAGCCCAACATCACAACCATCCCCGACCTCACCTCCACAACCATCCGAGCCACCCGCCGTACGTACCGCCGCCGTATCAGCATCCTCATCACCACTTGCCGCCCGAGGTAATTATTGACGATATTCCTGGCCGCTCGAGCCCGATGTCTTCCCTACAACTCCAAGAATCTTTCGAAATGCTCTATGCCCCCAAGGGCCGACCGTTTGCCCCCGAAATGCGTTCAACGTTCAACCCTTTAGCCGCGTGACTGCTACGAGTCATCGCACGATTCAGACTCCACGAGCCGAGTTACGTCTTTGAAAGTAACTCGAAAAATTCCATTTGCATCGAAGGACACAATTAGCGCTTTACATAGACTCGATTAAACGATGTAATTATTAACTCGCTATGTTATTCGAAACCTCTGACCCGTTTATCTAAAAACCTCGACCAACAGTCGTTGATCTCCGCTTGATCTTGTTTACGAAATTAAAAGCTAGTTTCGATCGTTTAAGGAGACCGAGAGTAGAAAGTGAGCGAAGCACAAGTATGTAAAGCCGTTCGTTCGTTCGTTCGTTCGTTCGTTCGTTCGTCGTTGCCCTCTTATTGGGCTAATCGAGCACTCCGTTTGATCGTGGATTAGAGATTGTTACTTCGCGGTTACACGGCAAGGCGTACGCGTGATTAATATCGTAAAGGAAACCTACAACGATGACTCCTCCAAGTGGCTATAGCACAAGTTCGCTTCCCACCACGAGCTTCGGGTGGTACACAGTCGCAAGTTATAGACGCATAGTGTCCCGTTCGCCAGACAAGTATCGACGATTATTATAGAGTTTGCCGGTGTACGTTTCCAACGTGCTATTTTGACACCGAGTCCGGTTAACCGTCTGGTAACTCAGCTAACCGCGTTTTCCCTTGACGCTTGCATTGGGACTCGTTTCTTCGTGAAATTCAGAATCTTTAATTGGTCACCGGTGGTTCGCGTGTAACCGGCCGACACATCGGCAGAGATTAGTTTCTCGATTCTTGCCACGCGGACAATGACAAAGCAAACATGTCGTTGACGAGCTGTACTTTCCCGACTCTCTCCGTCTCTCCGCTGTTCGCGAGATTATCGAGAAAACAATTTACCGACACCTTTCTGCGTTTCTCCATTCTCCTTCGCAGTCCTATCGAGATTCTTGCAAAATTCTCTACGCTAATATACTCGTAAACAAGATAGCTCAAAGATTATTTTTCAAACCGCTATTACGTGCATACTTAGAGGAACAAAATCAGCGAAAGTAGAATCGATTCAAGGTTTCTCGCGCCTCTCACAATCGCTCGTATTGTGTTTGACGCTATAAAAAGCGAAGGAAAAATCCTAAACTCCATCGCAGATTCGTAGCCTAACTTCTATCTCGGTTGAAATCCGCGTTGTTTCTTTCGTCAGGTGTTCCAAAGATTGAGGGTCAACGGGAGATCCGAAGGGAACGGTACCATTTTCGCGTATCCTCTAATCAGATCCTATCCCTCCAGGATCAAGGGATCTAAAGACAGAAAATAAAAAAACCCGACGAGTCGGTGTTATCGGCAGGTTGGCTTATAACCGGAAGCGTGGGGCACACGAGGCAACGGATCATCGTGCCGCGATTCAGACAGATTAAAGCCGACGATTACGGAAAGAGACGGAGAGCGACAGAGAGAATGAGGGAGATGAAGAGAGAGAGGCGGAGAAGGTCCACCTTTTCCTTTATATTACGGCACTATTCGCGGCCGCAGTTTAGACAGATAGGTGGGTAGGTAGGAGAATGAGTCAGGCAACGCTAGGTAGGTTAGATTGGACGTTGTCTCCGCGCAGCCACTCGCACACACAGCCAGAAATTCGTGTTCACACGTATGCAAAGCCGCGCGAGAGAACACGTGTGCTGTACGTACAGAGAGGCACACATACCTTCGAGTTAATAGCACATGCGAAGTGCTAGATGGCCGGCGTGCGTGGGTGGACGGAACACGTTACCTCTACGTATGTGTGCCATGGAGAAAAGGCATATGGTCAGCAGGTGAGACCTTTGCTTTGTGTTCCAAGTGTATAAAGTAGCCTACTTCCAGTGACCAATGTTATTCCATCGTAATTTACTGCGCCAAGGGAGAGACAAAGGGTTGCGTTGCTCAGCTCCTTCGGATCCCTTCCGAAAAACGGGCCAACTACTCCTACTCCGGCTACGTTCGATCGCGAGCCAGTCTTTCGAATCGAATCACTCGACTTTAAGTTGGAACGAGACATCTTTAGCATGCGAAGAAAAGCATTACTTTGAATCGAAATTATAAAAGTTCCGACCGAGAGACGAAGAAACGAGAGCAAAGGGTGAAACTGGAATGAGGAATGCCTTTTAGGAAATACACTGGGTGTCGCTTGATATATTTTTCCATTATTAAGGACATTAAGCCGGCCGCCCGCAGGCAACCAACTCTTTCCGTTTTCTTCTTCCTCTTTTCATTTCTTCTCGGAGAAACAGCCGTTCTCCTCTTTTGCTCTCCTTTTTTTCCGCGGCGACGACGACGACGATAAATCAGAAAAAAAGATTCAAACCACCGCTATGGCCCGGGCGACGGAACGCAATTTTCCGTCTGCCAAGAGATAAAAATATGATTAATGGACGTATGGTGTTCGGGTTTGTGAAAAACCAGGAAAACCTTCGTAAGTGAACGACCAAGCCTAATTAGCATTCGCTCGAAACGTCATGATAGAGAAGCGTAAATGTTCGAAACGAATTCGATGACGACTTTCGCGGGAAGTTTACCGAAAAATCTCCACCGTCCACTCGAGACGGTCGTTAAAAATTCGTAACTCGACTTTGTTGCCATCGAATCGTCCCTCGCCCTCTTGACAGCCCTTGGCTACGGTTAATCGCCGCGAAAACGTTCTCCGAGCGTAGATTCTATCATTTCGCGAAGAAAGCGGAAAGGGTGAGCGAGGGAAAAAAAATTACATTCCAACATCCCCGCGGTCTAAATACCGACATCGATATCTCCGGGGATGTTTCCGAACGCAAGCAATTTTATTCAAATCGACGCGAAACAGGACTCGGATTGATTTGTCTCCGGGCGAAAGAAGCGTCCCGGAGAAAAAACGAGGAACGAAATCAAGTTGCAGCCTCTCCCTCTCTCACGGGGATTAAGAATCAGGGATGCCCCGAGTCGAAGGTCGCCCGTCAAATATCCAGGCGTCGCGTCGTCCACCAAAGAAAGGGTTGAAAGTCGTAGAAACTTGAGAACCCTTGGCGACAATTTCAATTCTCTCTCTTTCCCTCTGTCTCTTACTCTTTCTCCGATCTCTCTACCACCGTTCACCGTCTCTCGGGGTTGTCTTTGTCGCGCCCGTTCGCGACAAGGGTGGCCTAAGATTCTTAAAACTTCTCGCGAGATTTTTCGATTTTAATTACAGTTTTAACATATTTTAATAAAATCCTCCCCGGTTCGCCTTTCTCTCGCGCTCGTTCCACGTCCGTTCAACGCTGGCCCCGTCCCCGTCTTTAATTCCGACAACTTCTCTCGGTCTACTCGTCCGAAATTCTCCGCGCTAAATCTCCCTCCTCTCTCGCGACTTTTGCCACGAACTGTACCGCTCGTTTTAACGTTAACCCTTTCGTTCGTTCACCTACACCCACACCGACGACGAGGAGCAACACCTGTTCCCTCAACGAAAACCCGAAATCAAGCGTTCCACCCGCTCGTATACGGCCCTTCCAGCAGTTTTACGTTCCTCCTGATCGCGTCGAGGAATAGCCAAGCGTGCCGGGCCGAGTGCGGAACTTGCGCTCCGTACCCTACGCGTACAATTCGAAAAGCATCGATCGTGTATGGTTGCTTTCGAAAACCACCGGGACGGACGTTGACCCCTTTACCGACCAGCTGTTCCATACGCTTCCTATTTAATTCGCGTAGAATCGTTCTATAATGATGCGAGACGATGCAACAATGTGTCCCTATACGCGCAAATGAATCGACGTAAGTAAGAAACTTGCGTTTCCCTGTAATTGCGAAAGAATGCTACGAGGATCGCTCGAACCGTCTACGGATAACAAACCAGGTGAAGCTGATCGTTTACTCGCGCGGCTAGTAAAATGATCCCCTAGAAAGATATGGGAATAAATGAAGATTCGTGAATGAAACGAATGAAACGAATGAAACGTATCAGCCGATCCTTTGAAAGTCCAGGCAGCGATGGCGATCGGCGGTAGCGCGACGGTCAGGGCTCCCGTCGATCGACCATCCTCCGTTTTTCGACCAAAAGTGCAGCGTACCAACTAACTCCGGCAGGTCTTCTCGCAGATCCTCATGCACAAGAGCGCGATGCAGATGCACGCGAGGGAGCTCGGCGCAGCGGGTGCACTGACGGCGAGAGCTGGCGGCGGGATGGCGGGCGGATTGGCAGCGCTTGCACCGATCGGCGTCGGGCCAGGCGGTATGATCGCCGGCAACGAGGTAAAGCCACACCAGTGCCAGCAATGCCTCAAGTCATTCTCCAGCAACCACCAGCTCGTGCAGCACATCAGGGTCCACACCGGCGAGAAACCGTACAAATGCAGCTATTGCGACCGCAGGTTCAAGCAGCTCAGTCATGTACAGCAACATACCCGCTTGCATACGGGTGAGTATCTCTCCTACCCTCTAACGATGCCTGTCCGAAATCCTGCTGGACCGACCTCGGTCATCCCGTTCTCGTCAGGCACGGCAGGATTTTTGCCCCGGTATTAGATACGATCGATCGCGCCACGCGGTGAACTTGATTTCTTTCCTACGCGAATCTTTCTTTTTTCTTTTTTTTTTTTTCTTTTTCTTAAACGTGACATTCGACGTATCTATTTATTTCAATACACATATTCCTTTTTTTGTTCTCCGCGAGAAATTCCGCCTCCCACTGAACGCGTTTCGATATTAATGTTTCTTCATGGAGAGAAAACCAGTTTGCCGATACAATATTTTTCGATCGCGTGGCGAAATCGACGAGTCACCGAGCTTAATGCATGCGTTCGGTATAGCCGGGACTCTGATAGTAAATTCTATGAATACCGCATTGCATCGCGACCAGTCGATAATCAATAAATTAATATACTATTATAATCTGTACGAGCGATCGTGCGTTCCGATTGTGGCTAATTTTAATGCATACTGCGAGATTGCTCAATGCCCCTCGTACCACGGCCAGAACAGAGCGTGGCTTCCAAGACACCGTTGACTGAACACGTTGTCGTACACCGCGGTGCCCGCCATGCCATGCCATGCCGTACGTGCGGTATGCATACAAGTTGCGCGTATTGCTGAGATAAGTTCAATTTACGCGGGGCGAACGATCGAATTTATCGAACGACTTGGTCGACTAAGAATAGCAGTGACGGAGAAACGTAGAGAGCAGACGAGGGACCCGTAATAATGAGAAAATTCGACGGCGCAAAGCCAGCCAACGGGTCGCGCTCGGGTAGAAAGAATTTCATTAAGGGATGAGCGTAGTCAATCGGAAGGTATTAGCCTCGAGAAGCGAACGGTCAGCGCCGCGTATGACCGGACCCTTGCGAAAAGTCTCGTTCATCTCGTTCAAGATCTGCTTCCGAATCGGAAGAAAAAAGAAAGGAAAAGAAAAACGAAACGTTGTCGGTATGCCAGCTATTTAATCGAAACGTCCAACGGTAGTATCTACTCTTTGGCTGCTCGCGAGAGGATAACAGAATCGATTCTTAAGAAAACATTCCTTTGTAATCATTGCTCGGAAAACTAATTTCCCCCCAACTGGACACCGATCGGCAAGCGAGCTTCCTTCCGTAGGCTCCTTGGAAAAATAAATTCACCAGCGTTTGCCTTAATCGCGTCTAACGAGGAAAAAAAAGGGCCGACATTGATTTCAACGCAACACTCGTTTCACCCCTTCGTCCTTTTCGACGACTACCAACGAGCAAGTAACTACTGCTCGGCAACCCCTTACATTAATAATCACCCTTCCCGCGTACCGAGCCCCCGTTCAACGTTGCTGCGACTGGTACTTCAGCTAACGTCGGTGTACGCGCATCTATCGCATGCACCGTTTACGGGTTCCTCCTTCTTATCGATGAAACGTTTTAAACAGCCGCGAAAGGGTTTGCCGGCCGATATTCTCGATCGACCGTGTGCATCGTTCGATATTCAAAGTTCCGAAGAAGATGGAATTCCTCATTTATAATCGGTGTTTCGCCACGTCGGCATAGCAATTTCTCACGATCGAAAAATCGGCATACTCGCGGCTGAAATTCCTTTCGGATTCCCATCTCGGTCCTCGCCGCTGTTTTCCCAAACGATACCACCGCTTCCGTACACCATTTGCATACCATATTGATTTCTCGTTTCGCATCTCGTTGGCGGGTCGCGATTGGCCGATCAAAGTCAAAAAACGGCGGGAATTTACTGCACCAGTGTCGCGTTCACGCGGCATCCCCGAGCCCACGCCCGCCCCTCGCGCTCACCCCCTTGCTGGCCGTCCTATAACGCGAGCGTTACAACAATTTCCATCCGACATAGTCGAATATATACGCGAACGGCTATAAAATTTCCAACGTATATGCATATAATTCATTAACCGAAATTCGATAGAATTCGTGCTGTTGCGAGCGGTAGGCAAAACGAGAAACACGGCAAGGTGGGAGGAAGGGTAGGGGCGATAGGGAGAATCAGGGGGAGGGGGGTGGGAAATACTAGCGAGGGTGACAGAAACGAAGGATGGCGAATATAATATCGGTGAGTGTCCACGATATCGATAGCTGGTCAATAGCTGCTGCAGCCTAGACAAATACCTGCCGAGGGTGTACAGTCCATCCTCCCCTCTCTTAAGCGGGCTTACGAGGGTGACTGGGCTCGCGGCCAATAGGAGGTCAGTATTCCCCACTCGGCGAGTCGCACGCGAAAAAGCGCGGGAATTTTTCGATCGTCCGATCGCTCAATAATGGAACCGAAGTTACGCGCCGCCACCGTCGCACGCGCACACCACCACCACCACCACCACCACTGTTTCACCTCCAGCGGCACACCACCGTCGTTACTGGCGCGCGTTACATCAACGCACACATACAGACAACCTACGTGCAACCTAATAAATAGCCGTGCGCATTTGCAAATGTGTTACCGGATAGACGACAGAGTTCGTATGCACCGGGGGGGGAGGGGACCAGAGGCTAGCAAAGATTATCCCTTCAGCAACGAGGAAAACTCAATTTTCACGGGGCGAAATCTAATGATCGGGTCCACCCCACGCGCGCGGAATTAATCGGTTTTCCTGAACGCTACGAGCGGTCGCGTTAGCTTTCGAAAGCACCGGCGATTCCTGGCTGGTCGCGCGCGACCATTTGCCACTTTTTAATGAAACGCAATCAAGCAACCCCTCTAGGAGGCACCGGTAGGAAGAGGTTGACGCGAAGAACACGGAGGCTCGCATTAAAATTCGATAGAGTAATAAAGGTGTTCTCTTGAAGAACGTTACAGCGAAACGAGTTCATTAATACCGATACAAACGAGGAGAAGGTGGCAAGGTAAAGTCCATCCCTTTCCAGCGAGACGATGGTACGCGCGTGTTTGAAAAAAGGGGCACGTTCCTCGGGCGAAATTGACCGGACAATTTTAAAGCCCACTTAAGACTGCGAAAAATTGCCGTATCGCCGGTGCATGAATAAAAATTAAGTCCTCCGACGCGGGATCTCGTAGAGCGGAAAAACGGGGTAGCTCCGTCATCGGCACGCTTTCGAAAACGAGCTCGCGAAAAAGAGACGACGAGAAAGGATCGAGTACTCTCGAATTCATAGTCATGCTTCTTGTTTTTCCCTCGACGTAGTTTCCGGTTCCCTTTGCCACTGCCGATGCTGACCTCCTGACAGAACCGTGAAGACGCGCCTCCCTTTTCTCCTCCACCTTTTTCCCTTCCTCCCTCCTACTTTTAATTCGCTAATTTCACCCAGTTAAGAATTTATGCGACGGAATGTCTTGCCAGACGTCTCGAGAAAAATCAAAGCGGCGCAGCGGAAAGAACGTCGGCCAGCCCTTTATCACAAATGACGCGGAATGAAAGATTAAACAAAAGCGGCAACGTTTTATGCGTCCAGCGCGAAGGGTGGCGCGGGCAAACGGGAAACGTAAATCGTATCTCGTTTGTAACAGGCAATTTCTTCTTTTCCTCCGGCAATAATATTCTTTCCTACTTCGAGCCAAATTTATAATTATAACGCGTTCTGTTGATTGTTTTCTCGTTCGAGTAGCCGATCGATCGAACGAACGTACGAAACGAACGCGATACCAGTTCGGCACAGCTTACTTAATTAATTCGCGTACTATGAGCTAATCAACTCTCCCCGTAGCCGTACCGTAAATATTTTAACGGCCGATATTAATCCTAATATTAGTTTGCGCGCGGTCATCGTAAATTATTCGTGTATCAAAATTATGCGGTTCGGTTCGAAACGCGGAAAGGCTTTTTGCAACTCGAAACGTCGAGGGTGCGATTCCCTGCAGCCAGCTTATCGGCAATCGAACGATGAAAACCCTCGAAATTCATACCGAACTCGCGTCGGTGCAAGATAATGTAGAGGCGCGTTTGTGAAATTATTGTGAAATAATCAAATTCGCTGGAAAAGACGAATTCTCTAGTGAAATCGAGGATGCAGAGAAGAAGTAACGGTCAGAGAGTTCTGTTGCCCGATAGCGAAGAGAAAGGCAATTAAAGCGTTAAAAGGTAAAAGGTAAAGATAATTAAAACTCGAAGACACCGTATGGCCTGCCAGAAAATGAACGTAGTCATGCCGCATATGCATAGGCCATCGACCAATGAGTCTATTCTAATTTTCTACGAACCCTTCCGCGGCGCTGCATTTTTTCCATGAGGGTTAATTTGAATAGGGTCGCTGGCCCTATACACACCGAGGATGGGATGGTTCGGCGATACGCCTACGCTTTTTTTCAACCTCGACCTACTCTTCTTTCTTTTTTTTTTCCTTCCGCCTTTTTTGGTTCTCGTCGAACGAAACCCGGGCTCAATGCGGCCCGATTGTCGTTGTTTTTTTTTTTCTCCTCTCTACGCGTGTTTCTCCTTGGGGGTTGATTTCGACGCGGTTGGTCGCGCAACAAACGTTCCATTCGGCAGCCTGCGAAAACGCCACGTCATTTTTTTAAGGTCACCTTTCAACAATCACACGCGTCATTGTCACTGTGTGTACCGTTTGTGATCCGAGATAAGTAATCTCTGTTTCCGCGATGTTTGCTCGAAACCTTGTTGATAGATTCGCATAGGGAACGAGCGATTGCCTATTCCGACCGTCTTTCCATCGCGATTCATAATGAAACGAATTCCTTGAAAAGTTGAATACTAAGTAATTAGTATCGAAGAAAAACTGCCATTTGAATTTTTCTTTAAATAAAAAAGGAATTAAATATTTCACGACTTCCTTCCGGTGAAAATGAAAGATCTCTAAAAGCGTCGAACATTTTCCGAAAATAAACTCTCCTAAAAAGAAATATTCAATTTTTCTATAAACGTGATCGGTGAATATTCTTTCAGTAATATTTATCGTTCTATTAGTTTTTCAAAAGCGCACAAATCTGCAACGCGTTCTCAGATTGTTGCCATGAGAGTGATTTTTT